AGGTGCCTTTATCCAGCTCTCTACGGGCGAGAGGCGGGGTTCGCCGTGGACGGGGCGCCAGTCCATCGCAAACCAACACAGAGACAAACCACCATTCATGCACACAATCAAACCAGAATTAAGAGAAGCCAATGAACCTAATATTAGGATACGATCGTTTTTTTGGGGCTGGATTCCAACTGCAACACTGTGCTTGCAGGCAGGTAAAGATGAGCTAATCATTCATCTCTCATTCATTAAAGGGAGTTAAATAAAAATACCTCCCTTTGAAGCTTAGCTTTAATGTCAACCAAGATTTATTGAGTAACAAATGAAAGTTAATTGAGCCGTAGATTAATGTTTCGATAATATCGGAATGAGTTACATGTTAAACTTCCACCCAGCGTTGAACCCAGCAGTGATGCGAAGGCGGTGCTTAGCCAGTAATCAGGTGCCGTTCCAGACTTAAGTGGAATCTTAATAAACCAAGTGTAGATATTTTAACAAACCTTTTCATCTCAAAACATTTAAAAAGTTTATTTGGTATCATATTATTTCTATTTCATCATGATTTTTGCCACCGTCGTCAAGCATTGCTCCCTGAGCTTGGCCAGTTTGATTCCAGCCGCAGTGAATCATGGGTAATGTTGTTTCATGAAGGATTGACACATTTAGGAAGATTCTTCCATTGGGAATTCCTTTGGCGCCGTACTGTGATGTAATCAGTCTACAGATGCGTCCGATAAAGAAGCAGCCCCTGAATTTGGGCTCAACCATGGATGAAATTTAGATTTCAGAAGTGGGGTGGGACGTAAGTATTTTTTAATATAACTAACTTCAGCGTGTTTGACCATCCAATCACAGACCGGAATTAATGGCGCCAATGGTGACAGCCAATCACACAAGAAAAGACGGTGGGCCAATCAGGAGCTTGTGGGCGGTCTAAACTCAGAGACGCTGGCTTCAGCTTGAGCTGCTGTTTTCTGCTTGGTCCTAGTGCTCCACAATTGTCTTTTTACTGCAGCATGACAATGTTTTAGGACAGTAAAACGTGAAGGGGACCAAAACAGACTTTTGATAAAGTGTAGGGGACATGTCCCCTCTGTCCACCTCCTAAAGTACGTCCATGGGCACAACCATTGATCTCCATCCAAACCTTGCAGTGAGCATCTCCACCACCTTCTCCCTACTTTTCAAATTTAGATTAAGAGGGAAGAATTTCCATCCACTTTAAGCTTTCCATCTTAATTTTCTTGTTTTTCACTTCAAATCAAATAAAACCTGAGAATCACGACTAAAGAGTGAAAGGAACTTTGGCGAGGAGCTGAATGAGCCTGGTTTCTATAGGAGACAAATCTGTGAATGGTTTGCAACGTTAAGTAGGGGAATAAAACGTTGGCCTTTCTATTGATGAGAAATAAGTAAATAATTGATTTAAGGTTTGGGTCCATGATCTCCATCCAGACATCCCTCTGAGTGTGACTGTAACGCGGCTCTTACTGTGGGTGCAGCTTGTAGAGCGTGCCGTCCACACCCACGGTGATGTCCAAGTGGTCCAGTCCTCTGTTCTCACGGATCTTATCCACCACAGCAGCCATTCCGGCTCCGCAGATCTGAGCAGCGCGGCGGGACACGGTTCCACACACCTCCTTCACAATGATACTGTCGTCACAGGTGCTGTCGAGTCCCAGCTGCTGCAGGATCGCCCTGACCTGCAGCAGCGCCAGACGATCGCTGCAGAGACAAAAGGAGCGGAGTGAGGGACAGAGGCTGCAGCAGCGGCAGGGTCACCGGATACCTGTCAGCTGTTCCCACAGGCTGAGGTAATCCAACACCTCAGCGTCTCCCTTTCTTTTCATTACTATGTAGGTGCTTTGACTGAATGCTGGCTTTAGCTAAACTCTATGGAGGGAATTTTGTTCCATTATTTATGCAAAGGATGAGTTTGTAAGTAGAAATTTGAAAGAAAAAATGCAATCCAGAAATTAAAATTTAATGTTTTTAAAACTTGTTTTCTATTTTTTTTTTCAGATTTTGTTATATTTAAATGTTTTTTCACAGATTGTTAATGTTTAAATTTAAATATTTATTTATTTATTTTTTTTATTTAAAAGTACTTTTTTCTTCTGTTTCTGTTTTTCAGATTGAGTTTTAAAACTTTCATTCTTTTGAAATTGAGTTTTCCAAAATCACTTTCTCTTTACTTTTGGGGGCGGGGGTTCCTCTGGAGTGAGGAGCAAATTTCCGCATTTCTATTGGTCTGCTGGACAAGGGCAACAATTTTTTTTTCTTGTTTTTTGTTTTTGTTTTATTTGTTAAAAAGGAACACCGTTTTTTATATTTTTTACATTTTCCCCTAATTTTACGTTATTACATCATGTACATCATCTACTCGCCCAGAGTTTTGTGTCATTTGGAGCTGTTCTGAAAATATTCCGTTAGGTTATATCCAAGTAACGTCTTCCTTTGGGTAACGAGTTGAAGGCACAAACTAAACTGTTCATATTGTATCATTTATGGTATGCCAGCATTCATAACATGTAGGTGAATCACTGTCCTCCAGACATCTGCAGTTATATTTTTTATATTTATATTTTTTGGAGTGTGCATGACATCATCCGCGCGCGCCGGCTACTGTTCATTCATCCTGTCCGCTGAACTGCTGCTAGTTTTACTCACATGCCTGGAAGATGTCTAGTGCTACTACCACAGATGATCTCGCTCTTGAGATGGAATTGAACGATTCAGATTAGCTAGCTGAATGAATATAAGGAGTAGAGCGTAGCCGCCTGTGGCCCGGGCTGCCTGTCACAACTCCAGTCCGGCGCGCGGATGACGTCATACACACTCCGCTTTGTTCTTCACAGAACTGCTTTACTTTTCCGTGAGAGGCAAGAGGCCATCCCATTCAGGTTTACACCCCCCACCTTCGATCAAGGCGCTCTACACAACTGTGAGTGTCACTTCATTGGGAGTGACACTCGATAGTTCGTGGTTACTGCTAAGGGGGCAGTTTAGGATTCCTCCGAAATATGCTTGTAGCAACAGTGGAGAGAAAAAAATCCCTTTTAAAAGGAAGTAACCTCCAGCAGAAACAGGTTCTGTGAGCGTCTATCTGCTGAGGTCGACTGGGCTTCAAGGAGACAAAGGCAGAGATACAAAAGGCAAATATAAACCAGCTAAAAAGCAAATAGATCCATAATAAATACTTAAGGATGATTTTTTTTCTTTTTGTCAATGAAGGTGGAGTTTAGGGAAATGTCCGTGATTGAATAGGATCNAGGGGACCAAAACAGACTTTTGATAAAGTGTAGGGGACATGTCCCCTCTGTCCACCTCTTAAAGTACGTCCATGGGCACAACCATTGATCTCCATCCAAACCTTGCAGTGAGCATCTCCACCACCTTCTCCCTACTTTTCAAATTTAGATTAAGAGGGAAGAATTTCCATCCACTTTAAGCTTTCCATCTTAATTTTCTTGTTTTTCACTTCAAATCAAATAAAACCTGAGAATCACGACTAAAGAGTGAAAGGAACTTTGGCGAGGAGCTGAATGAGCCTGGTTTCTATAGGAGACAAATCTGTGAATGGTTTGCAACGTTAAGTAGGGGAATAAAACGTTGGCCTTTCTATTGATGAGAAATAAGTAAATAATTGATTTAAGGTTTGGGTCCATGATCTCCATCCAGACATCCCTCTGAGTGTGACTGTAACGCGGCTCTTACTGTGGGTGCAGCTTGTAGAGCGTGCCGTCCACACCCACGGTGATGTCCAAGTGGTCCAGTCCTCTGTTCTCACGGATCTTATCCACCACAGCAGCCATTCCGGCTCCGCAGATCTGAGCAGCGCGGCGGGACACGGTTCCACACACCTCCTTCACAATGATACTGTCGTCACAGGTGCTGTCGAGTCCCAGCTGCTGCAGGATCGCCCTGACCTGCAGCAGCGCCAGACGATCGCTGCAGAGACAAAAGGAGCGGAGTGAGGGACAGAGGCTGCAGCAGCGGCAGGGTCACCGGATACCTGTCAGCTGTTCCCACAGGCTGAGGTAATCCAACACCTCAGCGTCTCCCTTTCTTTTCATTACTATGTAGGTGCTTTGACTGAATGCTGGCTTTAGCTAAACTCTATGGAGGGAATTTTGTTCCATTATTTATGCAAAGGATGAGTTTGTAAGTAGAAATTTGAAAGAAAAAATGCAATCCAGAAATTAAAATTTAATGTTTTTAAAACTTGTTTTCTATTTTTTTTTTCAGATTTTGTTATATTTAAATGTTTTTTCACAGATTGTTAATGTTTAAATTTAAATATTTATTTATTTATTTTTTTTATTTAAAAGTACTTTTTTCTTCTGTTTCTGTTTTTCAGATTGAGTTTTAAAACTTTCATTCTTTTGAAATTGAGTTTTCCAAAATCACTTTCTCTTTACTTTTGGGGGCGGGGGTTCCTCTGGAGTGAGGAGCAAAGTTGCATTTCTATTGGTCTGCTGGACAAGGGCAACAATTTTTTTTTCTTGTTTTTTGTTTTTGTTTTATTTGTTAAAAAGGAACACCGTTTTTTATATTTTTTACATTTTCCCCTAATTTTACGTTATTACATCATGTACATCATCTACTCACCCATATGAGTTTTGTGTCATTTGCAGCTGTTTCTGAAGATATTCCGTTATGTTATATCCAAGTAACGTCTTCCTTTGGGTAACAAGTTGAAGGCACAAACTAAACTGTTCATAATTTATCATTTATGGTACGCCAGCATTCATAACATGTAGGTGAATCACTGTCCTCCAGACATTTGCAGTTATATTTTTTATATTTATATTTTTTGGAGTATGCATGACATCATCAGCGTGCGCCGGCTACCGTTCATTCTTCCTGTCTGCTGAACTGCTGCTAGTTTTACTCACATGCCTGGAAGATGTCTAGTGCCACTACCACAGATGATCTCGCTCTTGAGATGGAATTGAACGATTCAGATTAGCTAGCCGAATGAATGAATGTTTAGAGCGTAGCCGCCTATGGCCCGGGCTGCCTGTCACAACTCCAGTCTGGCGCGCGGATGACGTCATACACACTCCGCTTTGTTCTTCACAGAACTGCTTTTCCGTGAGAGGCAAGAGGCCGTCCCATTCATGTTTACACCCCCCACCTTTGATCAAGGCGCTCTACACAACTGTGAGTGTCACTTCTATGGGATAATTATCCTGCCATAATGCAAGAGCGCCTAATTTCAATTTGAGAAAAGAATTTCATCTTCTTGCACTCAAAACTTATAATGCTCACACTCAAAACATGCGCTCTCTTTCAAATATTTTCTCTTCTCTCTCAAATCTTTCTTCTCTCAGATTTAATGCTTCTTGCACAGATATTTTCTCCTCTCGCTTGCCTCCTTCTCTTCGCGCACAAACCGCGCTCTGCTCGAGTCTCAGTTACGCTCGCAAACCCGCGGATTTTTTTGCTCTCTCTCAGATTGGATCGGAACGTCGCCTAGCAACCTTTCCAGCCAATAGAACGACAGCCTCGGAAAGGGTGCACTTGTCTAACTCTACTGAGTGTGCCTGTGATAAACCTTATCGACAATAAATTGGCTTTTTAATTTAAAAGCTATTAAAATAAGAAGCTGAAAAACAACAACAATCAGGAAAATAAAAAAAGGAAATAATAAAGGGCGATTCAAGAATCACCAATGAAAAGTCACTTTATTTCTGCTGGAGGCAGAATTAGCATCTACCCTGACTAGCAAACTTTTTTTTTTTTTCTGACAGCAACTCTGAGGTGGTATTTTTCTGTTCACATCACGTCACGTCTGAAAATGCATAGCTTTTAAATTAAAAAGACATTTTATTGTCGGTAAGGTTTATCACAGGCACACTCAGTAGAGTTAGACAAGCGCACCCTTTCCCGAGGCTGTCGTTCTATTGGCTGGAAAGGTTGCTAGGCGACGATCCGATCCAATCTGAGAGAGAGCAAAAAAATCCGCAAGCAGAGCCTACGGGTTTGCAAGCATAACAGACTCGAGCAGTGGTTTGTGCACGAAGAGAAGGAGGCAAGCGAGAGGAGAAAA